AGCTCTGGAACAAGCGGACCTAATAGACACCTATAGAACCTTCCCCCCATATCAACAGAACATACATTCTTGTCAGCACCACATAATTTCTTATCCTAAAATTGACCACATAATTGGAAGTAAAACACTCCTTAGCAAATGCAAAAGAACAGAAATCATAACAAATAGTCTCTCATACCACAATGCAATCAAATTAGAACTCAGGATAAAGAAATTCACTCAAAATTGCACAACTATATGGAAATTGAACAGCCTGCTCCTGAATGACTACTGGGTAAATAACAAAATTAAGGCAGAAATGAAGAAGTTCTTTGAAATCAGTAAGAACAAAGAGATAACATACCAGAATCTATGGAACACAGCTAAAGCAATGTTAAGCAGGAAATTTACAGCACTAAATGCCCACATCAGAAAGCTGAAAAAATCTGAGATCAATAACCAAACATCACAATTAAATGAGCTAGAGAAGCAAGTGCAAACAAACTTAAAAGCTAGCAGAAGACAATAAATAACTAAGATCAGAGCAGACCTGAAGGGACAGAGACACACACACAAAAAAAACCCTTCAAAAATCAATGAATCCAGAAGCTGGTTTTTTGAAAAGATCAACAAAATAGACTGCTAGACAGACTAATAAAGAAGAAAAGAGAGAAGAATCAAATAGATGCAATAAAAAATGACAAAAGGGATATCACCACTGATCTCACAAAATACAAACTACCATCAGAAAATACTATAAACACTTCTATGCAAATAAACTGGAAAAATCTAGAAGAAATGGATACATTTCTGAACATATACAGTCTCCCAAGACTAATCCAAGAAGAAGTCAAATTCCTGACAAGACCAACAGCAATATTCCTGAATAGACCAATATTGAAACTGAGGCAGTAACTAATAGCCTACCAACCAATAAAAGTCCAGGACCAGATGAATTCACAGCCGAATTCTACCAGAAGTACAAAGAAGAGCTAGTACCATTCCTTCTGAAACGATTCCAAACAATAGCAAAAGAGGGACTCCTCCCTAACTCATTTTATGAGAGCAGCATCATTCTGATACCAAAATCTGGCAGAGATGCAACAAAATAAATAAATAAATAAAATTCAGGCCCATATCCCTGATGGGCATCGATGTAAAACTCCTAAATAAAGTACTGGCAAACCGAACCCAGCAACACATCAAAAAGCTTATCCACGACTATCAAGTTGGCTTCATCCCTGGGACACAAATAAAAATTTAACTGGGAAAGACAGAACCTGAATTCAAGGGAGAACAAGAATTACCCCAGAAGATCTATTTCTTAACTGTTTTTCTGTAAAGGGGCTCCAACTTTTGATATGTTTTGTTTAGCTCTTCTTTTCTAATGAAAAGTAAAATTTTGCTAATGATTGTTGTGGCTGTGCCTTGTTTTCAATTTTAGGGTGACACTGGCTAACTAACTGAATAAGAATTGGCCATTTCCTTCTGAGACCACACACTGGTACATTTTACCTGCTATATCCCTTACTGTCTGTTGGCGGTTTGTCATAGACCATATTGGTTGAAGACTGGTTACGTCCAGCTAAAGTTCTGGAAGGTTTAATAGGCTGAAGAAATGCAGACACTGGTCAGATTTTTCAAGGAATATGCAACTAAGTGGAGTAAACAAAATTTGGCTCTCTCTCTTAATAAGAAAAATACTGAGTATTTTGTCATATGATGTTTCCAGAGCTGGGAGAATGCATCCATCACAGACTTCTTCAGTGTTACTGAAGAGATATTAGCTTCCAAAGCTGGTGAAGTAAACTGAAAAATAACAACCACCCAGAGTCTACAGCCCAACTGGAGACACTTAACAATGAGTAATATCATATCCTTTAACATTTACTGTGTTAGTTAACATTTAGCAGATCTTTGTTAAAGTAGTAGCAGATCTTTCTTAAGGTAGTTTTCTTTCTCTTCAGTTACAAAAGCTTTAAATATCATTCTCTTATTTAAAGCATTTGATTTTCCAGATTTCTCCTTTTGTCTCTTATAAACAGGGAGAAGAGGAAACTTTCCACTTATTCATCATCATTCATTCTGACTGCTAAAGAGATCCAGGCTCCTAACAGCTAGTAAATGAAATGGAGAGGTTTTAGAAGACTCTAAATAAATGTACAGGAGGGAGGTATTTCTGATTCCTGGCAACTGCAAACAGTGAGTAAACAACCAAAGCAGGCCTTCTCAGTTAACAGCTTGGGCAATATCTGGTGTGGTCATTTACGAGCACTGCACTATGTCTCTGCCCCAAACATTTTGTCCTCTTTTGCTTTGCTGACAAAGCTTCTGCTTAATCAAGGTTTTGGGTTTAGAGTAAAGGCTTTTATGAAATAAAAATATTATATAACCCTGTAGTTATGCTGTGCAACTTTCTCAAGCCCTTTATCAGAAAAATCCAGCTTTACACAATGATGATGAAAACATACTTGGAGCCCAGGAGAGGATGTGTAATCTCTCTTTATTGTTTCTATAGGTCACTGCTCAGTTGATGAAGAGAGAGCATTTCATGGGTATCTGACAGTCTTATTGCCCTGATTTAAAATTTTTTTTTTCTATTCTACCCATTTCCTCTCTTTCTCTCCATGGTACTGGATCCTCTCCATTCATTCTTTGTGTCAAAGGTCAAGGAGACACAACAAATCTTTGACTGGGGATTCTAGACCTGCACCATCCATTAGGGTAGCCACTAGATAGATAACACATGGCTATTGAACATGTAAAATGTGACTAGTGTGACTGAATTTTAAATTCAGTATAATTTGAATTAAGTTAGATTTAAAAATTGAAGCTGTTGAACACCACTAAATACAACTTTATTATTTTGGTAGAATTATATTTCACTCCAGCCATTGAAAATTTACCATGAGTTGAGATGGACTAAGAATGTCAAATACACACTGGAGTTCAAAGACCTAATATAAAAAAATAGCACAAAATGTCTCATCAAAATTTTTTATATTGGCCTGGTGTGTGTAGCTCATTCCTATAATCCCAACACTTTGGGAGGTCAAGGTGGGAGGACCACTTGAGGCCAGGATTTAAGGCCAGTCTGAGCACCAAAGCAAGACCTCCATCTCTACCAAAAATAGTAATAATAATGATATTTATTATTATTATAGATAATATTCATTATTATATTGAAATAAAATTTTGGATAATTAAAATAAATGATATATTATTAAAACAAATGTCACATTTCTTTTTATTATTTAATGTGGCTATAAGAAAATATAAAATGATAAAGGTGGTTCTCATAATTCTAATTGGGCAACATCTGGTTGTTTCATTTGGGTAGCACTGAACTCTCTCTCTGCCCCAAACATTTCTTCCACGTTGGCTTTGCCAAGACGATTGAAAAAAGTCTCTGGTTTGTTCAAGATTTTGTGTTCAGAGTAAAGGCTTTTGTAGAATAAAAATAAATAATCCTGTAGTTATGCTGTGCAACTTCCTCAAGTCCTTCATCAGAAAGACCCAACTCTCTAGGTTCTCACATTCTTCAGGATGCACCCACCTACTGAACACAAGCCATTCTCCTAGTTACATAGTTTGCTTTTCAAAACATATAATCAGTGCCAAGAGGCTCCCCTCCTTCCAGGGAGAGAAAAAAACAAACCGCATCCTGAAGCCGTCATCAGTTCCAATACTCAGCATCACTGAGAATACCAGATTAAGCTACCTTCAGGAGGGTGGGGAACAAAGACATTGGGCCAGGGGACTTTTGATGGTTGGGTTAGGAGACAAAGAAGAGGAAGGTATAGACAGGTGGGAGAATACTCCAAAGCATGGAATGTTTTTAGGATAGCTAGTTGGGTGCTGATTTAAGAGAGAGGGTCTTAGGCATGAATATCTTGGGTTTCTAGGAGGAATGCATATATTATAAATGAGAAAGAGGCAACTGAGCAGAAGATGGAAAAATATCCTAAAAAGAAGATTTGGGATAGATTATTGGCAAGAATTCTTATGGAAGCATCAGTTTAAAATACATGACATTGTGATATCCCGTCTAATGTCAAATATCTTCTTCCAGATTCTACTCCTGGTCTTCTGTGGAGCAGGCTTAAAGGTTCTTCCATTGATGCTGCATCTGTGTGCCAATAACCCTATTTCATCCTTTATGCCTATTGCAATGTCCTTTTGAAGAGGCAGTTGAATAGGTAGAGAACAAACAATTTCTCTGCAGTGTTCTATGATCCAAAATTGTAGAATTTCAGTGGTCATTTATGTCATTTAACCCCATTGATGCAGTTTTAGATCTTTATTGCATCCAATGCCCTGATTTTAAAGGGGTGGGGGAAGAGAGAAAGAGAAAGAGACTGAGAGATTATGTGCCTTGCCTAGGATCAGTCACAACTCAGGATCAGCTGAAGCCCCTAGAAACAGAACTGAACTGGGTCTCAGAACTGGTTCCTGAATCCTAGTTGATGTCTTTCGCTAACATATCACTTATACAAGTTTTATTTATTTTGATTGATTATTTTTAAATTTTTATTTTTTGTGGGTACACAGTAGGGATACATATTTATGGGATACATGAGATATTTTCATAGAGACATACAATGCATAACAATCACCTTGGGTAAATGGGGTATCCATTACCTCAAGCATTTATCTTTTTTGTCACAAACAATCCATTTATAATCTTAATTATTAATAAATGTACAAAAAATTTTTATCAACTACAGTCACCCTGTTGTACTATCAAACACTAGATCTTATTCATTCTTGTTCTCTTTCTTTCTTTCTTTCTTTCTTTCTTTCTTTCTTTCTTAAGACAGTGTCTCACTCTGTTGCCCAGGCTGGCAGTGGCACAAACATGGCTCACTGCAGCCTCAATCTCCTGGCCTCCCACCTCAGCTTTCCAAGTAACTGGGACCACAGGTATGCACTATATATATATGATGCATATATATATATATGATGCATATATATATATATATATATATATATATATATATATATATATAATTGTTTTCTGTAGAGACAGGAGTCTATGTTATCCAGGCTGGTCTCAAACTCCTGGGCTTAAGCAATCCTCCCACTTAGACACCCCAAAGTGTGGGGATTACAGGCTTGTGCCACCATGCCTGGACCAGGTCTTATTCATTCTATCTAACTAGATTTTTGTACCCATTAACCATCTCCACTCCTCCTGGCACTACCCTTGCCAGCTTCTGGTATCTATCATTTTACCCTATATCTTCATGAGTTCCATTGTTTTAATTTTTAGCTCCTACAAATAAGTGAGAATATGCAGTCTGTCTTTCTGTCCTGACATATTTCCCTGAGCATAATCATCTCTGTTCCATCCATGTTGTTGCAAATGACAGGATCTTATTCTTCTTTATGGCTGAATAGTACTCCATTGTGTATATGTACCACATTTTCTTTATTCATTCATCTATTGAAGAGCACTAAGATTTCTTCCAAATCTTAGCTATTGTGAATAGTGCTACAATAAACAAGTGAGTGCAGATATATTTTTGATATACTGATTTCCTTTATTTTTGGTATATACCCAACAGTAGGATTGCTGGATCATATGACAGTTCTATTTTTTATTTTATGAGGGACCTCCAAACCATTCTCCATCGTGGTTATACTAATTTATATTCCCACCAACAGTGTACCAGAGTTCCCTCTTTTCCACATCTTTGCAAGTATTCATTATTGCCTGTTTTGGATAAAAGCCACATTAAACTAGGGTGAGATGTCATCTCATTATAGTTTTGATTTGCATTTCTCTGATGATCAGTGATGCTGCACACCTTTTCATATACCTGTTTGCTATTTCTATGCCTTCTTTTGAGAAATGTCTATTCAGATCTTTTGCCCATTTTATTGTTTTTTTTTTCCTATGGAGTTGTTTGAACTCCTTATATTTTCTGGTTATTAATAACACAAGGGTGTCAGATAGGTAGTTTGAAAATATTTTCTCCAGTTCTGTAGGGTGGTATTATGCTAATTATAACTTGGACTTACAGCTTGGGCTCTCTGCAGAACCTAGTAGATTCTGGGCTGCCTATAGGCTGCCCTTGTGTGTCAATGGTCTGGTGAAGATTACTGTGTATTTAACCCAGTACCCTTGAATTTTAAATGTGTTCTGGTCACAGAGAAAACATTCTCTGGAAGATTTTTTAGGAGCTAAAAATGATGGTAGAAATTCTAAATTAGTAAGCTTTGGGGTAAGAAAGCATTTCCAAAGAATATTATCCCTTATTTTAGAAATTTCCTGACCTGACAAGCAATATTTTATGAGAAAAATAAGAACTTGGTTAATATCAGCTAAAAATTAAATTAATTAAAATTAATTAAAATTAAATGCCATTTATAAATGTTTCAAAATCATCATTGAATAAATAGCTTAACTTGGTGATTACAAACCAAGGGTAGCTTCAGGAGGCTAAAGCTATAAGCCAAGCTAATATACGAGAAAAATCACATCTTTTTTTATAAATATGGAAATGTGTTACAAATGGAACTGTTTCTGTAAGGAATGCAATATACAGTATCTAGAAACTACTGTCTATATATAGTAAACTCTATGCTGTATCATTTCATTCATTTTTTTCAGCAAAGAGATAAATGCATAATTGTTTGTATTGGTGGTGCTTTTGTTCCCCATTACCATATGTAAATAGAATGAATAGCTTCTCTGAGGATGGACAGCATAATATGTGGAATTCCTGCTTGCTATCTTATAGGAGGTTATTTGCATATGAAATTTTATGGACATGAGACTGAAAATGTGTTATTTAAAAGCAAAAGGGAAAAAAAGCCCTTTAAATTATCATGTCTTGCATTTCACATTTCTGGTGATTTATAAGCCTTTCAAAGCTCATGTTATTAAGCAATTCAAAATTTCTATGCCTATACAGGTTTCGCTAATACTAACTCAAGTAGCCACCCTGTGGCATTTTCCATGCTGTTCTTCATTTTTTCCGTCTATATTTTTTCTCCTCTCGTTTTTTTAGAAACGTTATTCCTATTTCTGTCACACTGTCACCTTTTAGTCTGTCTTGCAAGAATGTAACATCAGCAGCCAAGTGAACCTAGGAAAGAAGAAAAGAACAGGTTTGTGTCATTGAATTTTTTAAAGTAGAAAATTTTTCTCAGTCTTTTTTCAGCTTTTGTTACTTTCCGTATGAAATTTTTTTTAAAAATAGCTTGTTCTGTGGATGAAGGGCCCTTTATGAAGTGTCCTTCAGAGATGGTCCAGCAGTGTGTCAGCTCTGTGGTGTGAATCTGCAAAGAGAAGGGTGGTCCAGGCCAACTAGAATGACTGGGACACCCAGACATGTAAGCCTCTCCCAAGCTTAGCTCACTGTGCAAGGCTGAACTACGGATCCATCTTTAGAAGAACACAAATCCCCAGCTGGAAAGTAGCCTTGACCCAGTGCGCTTAGCCAGCAGAATTTCCAAGGATAAATGGATTCTTAAGTGATTGCTCTCAAACAGATTTGCCCCAAATCATTCTGTCGTTAGCTAAATTGCATAATCACTTGTCCTAACAATATTTAGCAGCACTTACGGCTTTGTGAGCTTTAAGAAAAATATCAATTAAATGAATTATAGATATAAAATTAAAGATTGAAATTACAGACATGAATATTTGATACTCAGGCCTTCTTTTCCTCTGTAAGGTATTTCTTGTTCCCCAGACACTGAAGTAAGCAGGGCTTACTTCTTTATTCATTAAAATGTGTCCACAGACAAGCACAATGATGCTGCTGACCTATAGTGTATTTGTTGAGAGTTACTTTGATTTATTGGGATAAATAAGATAAATAAGTAAAAGCACCTAGTGAAAGCAAATAATAGGTGAAAAATGCCTACATGTAGCAGGCAATTAAATAATATTCATTGAATCTTACCTGACTCACTCCCCTCCCTCACTAAGAATTTCTTAGCTAGCCAGCCTCAATTTGTTAAACCATCAGTGTAACAAATTATCCAGTCCATAGTGGGGGCCTTGCAATGCCTTCCACTTAATAGAAGGATGTAGATTGCACTTGGAAATACAGAAGCAAAATTCATCCTCGACTTTTTCTTCCATAAGGTTTTTTTAAGACTTTGTCAAAATTTAACAGAAAATAAATTAACAGGGAGATGATGCTGAAGCTATCTGGGTATTTGGGGGCACATGAGGTCTGATACCAGCTATCATTCAGCAAATATAATCAATTGTTATCTATGAAAGTTGAAGACATTGTTACCCTATTTTTGACTTGATTTTATTGTTTCTCCCTTTGCCCATAAACTCCCAGAGTGCTTTCCCACCCCTTCCTTGACATCATGGCCACTGACTATAGGACAAATCTAAAAAGATGTTAGGGTAGAAACGTGGAGAATCTGTGTGAACAATGCATTATTTCTATTGTTTTTTTGATTTTTTATTATTTGTTATTCTATTTTCCCCTAACTACCACAAATAATGAAAAATTACATGCATGCCTCATTACTGGGTAGCTTGTTACATGGCAAGACTTTGATTACTATCTGGTCCCACCATTCTCAAAAGCTAAGCTTCTGGGAAAATGAGACTCCTCTTCTTAAACTGTTGTTGACGCACCAATCTGTGACAGATTTTCTTCTATCCCTCCACTTTCCCAAAAGAGCTTTTACCAAGGCCTTCCTGGGTCTTTTGATTCTTAAATGTTGTGAATATATTTCAGGTCTGGTTTAACTTATAGACTCCCTGCTGTACTTGTTCTTATTAATCACTCTCTCTTCTTGAAATGCTCTCCTTCCTTGTTTCTATGACTCCTTTTTTTCCTACCTCTGATTTCTCTTTCTTAGTATCCTTTTCAGCCTTTGTGCTCTCTGTTTAACCTACTTATTATATCTTATTGCTTCCTACAGTTCTGTTACTCCCTTTGCTTCTTGCTCTACAGACTCTGCCTAGTCATTCTTTTCCAATTCTAATGATTTTTCAATTAATGTCTCTCTGTGAACTCCAAACAGGGATAAACAACTGCTTGCTGTATAGCCTCACTTGTATTTGTTAAATACAACCCCAGCAGGCTCAAAATTGAACACCTCACTTTGTCTCTACCAAGCCCAAATGTACTACTCTTAGTTTTGTTCTTGGTTTAATAGTACAACCATCCCTACAGCTTGCTCAGAAACCTGCAAGTCATTCTTGAATATTTTTTTCAATTTTGTCCCTTTCAGCCAATTCCTAACCTAGTCTTATCTGTTCTTTTTGTTGTTGGTCAAAAGGTTTTCCTCTCTCCATTCCTGCTGTAAGGGCTCTGTTCTGGTTTTAGCTGAGGTTACCATCACAACTTCCAAAGTGCCCTCATCCTTTCCTTCAACATTATTTCCTCTGATATACTTTCACTTGTTTGATAAAGAAATGAAATTCCTAAAACACAAATTTCAAAATATTATTCCACTGTTTAATGACCTTTATTGACTTCTGTTGTTTTCAATATAAAAATCTCAATTTCCAAGCTTGTCATATTAATCCCTTTTTTAAAAGTCAGACTTCTGTAAAGAATTTAAACCTCCTTTCTCATGACAATCTGTCTCTCAATTTATATGTCAGTCATACTGAACTAATTCAAGTTCCTTGTTCCTTGATTCAAACAGTCTTTTTATACCTTTGGACACGCTGATTCTTCTACCTGTTATATTATTTTCTCCTGCTCCTCTTACCCAAGGCTTTTATCTAACTCCTATTTTTTTTTTCCTTCAAAAGCCAATTAAGAGTTTCCTTAGGAAGTCTAGGAAGTCTTTCCTGCCACAGATCCTTTCATAGCCTTAATTATACTTCTTCGTACATCTGGCTTTTCCATTAGACAGAAGGCGATTTAAGTGTCTTGTTCATCTGTGCATACTCAGCACCTGACACTTAGCAGATATTAATAACATTTTAGTTAAACCAATGAATAATTCAGGTGTGAAATCCAGCCTCTAAAATGGCCTGCAATGATCCCTACCTCCTGTCATTCACACCCTCAGGTAGCCCCCTCCCACATGGTACCAGGGTTGGTAGCATAAGTAGCTATATTGTGATTAGATCTACAAAGAGGTCCATGTGGCCAGGAACTTCATGAAGCCTCCTGACAACTGCCAGTAAGGCACTGGGGCTATGTGAGTGAGCTTGGAAGTAGATTCTCCAGCCTCAGTCAAGTCAACAGAGGTTTTAGCCCTGGCCAGCAGCTTGACTGCCTGTGTATTAAGCCTTGAAAGACTTTGGGTGACAACCACCTAGCTAAGCTGCTCCCAGATTTCTGAGTCTCAGAAACTGTGTGAGGTAATAAATGTTTGTTTTTGTAAGCTGCTACATTCTGGGGGTAGTTTGTAACATATCATTAGGTAACCAATATACCTAGCAAAGTGAATTATGTATATTGGTTATCTTATCTTAGCCTTAGCAGGACTAAGAGAGTCTCCATTCATTCTTCACTTATTCAACTTTACCATTTCCAAGGCACCTCTGATAATCCCACAGAGCAAGTTGCAGTAGCACAGAGAAGATCTCCCAGCAGGGAGCTCTTCCACAAACTCCACCAGAGGATTCTTGTCTAGAATCAGGGAAAATTCATTTCTGCTTGAATTATTACAGGTCACACTTGGTGTAATTCCCAGGTACATCTTGAAAGCAACCTGATAAGAAGAAAACAAAATTACTAAAACTTGGTCTAGAACCAATAACTATTAGCAGACTAAGCAAATACCCTGTGATAGGCATTACCGCACAACGGTTAAGCACATGGAGTCTATAGTCAGGAGGTCCGGCTTCACCCTTAGCTCTGCAATTTATTGATCCTATAATGTGAAGTTTTTAAATATTTTTACTTGTAAGAGGCTAATTTTTGTGGAAATAATATGGTTTGTAAAAAACTACATTAAAGAATTATTTTCAATCAACTTTTTAAAAAATATATATCCTTTAATGGAGTAAGAAATTAAAACTGGGGGGAAATGGGGGAGGGGCGGGGGGGTGGGGAGGTGGGAAGAGATAGCATGGGGAGAAATGACAGATACAGGTGAGGGGACGGAAGGCAGCAAACCACACTGCCATGTGTGTACCTATGCAACAGTCTTGCATGTTCATCACATGTACCCCAAAACCTAAAATGCAATTAAAAAAATAAAAAAGAAAAAGAAATTAAAACACTATTAGTCATCAACATATCAGCTGATATTTGTCACACTGATCAAAGTATAAAACCCTGGTTTAGAAGGGACACATTTGCCACAACAGCAAGGTGACAATCAAAGCAGAGGATGACAGATTAGACACAGATTAGACCCAATAATTCATTTTGGGAAGTAAAGAGAATAATTTTGGAGTAGTCGTCCCGTATCTGTGGTCTCAGTTACCTGTGGTCAACATTGTTTGAAAACATTAGGTAGAAAATTCCAGAAATAAACAATTCATATGTTTTAAGTTGTGCTTCTGTGTAGTGTGATGAAACCTCTCACTATCCCCTCTCCATACTGCCCAGAATGTGAATCATCCCTTTGTCCAGTGTATTCACACTGTTTATGCTATGACCTGCCCATGGGTCACTTAGTAGCTGCCTCAGTCAGCAGATTTTTAAAAAACATAGTATATACAGGGTTTGATACTATCTGAAGTTTTAGGTATCTACTAGGGGTCTTAGTTGCAGGTATCCCTTGTGGGTAACAGGGGACTACTCTACTGTGGAAGACAAATCTCTAAGGAGCAAGTGGTAGTGGTGGGAGGCACATAAATGAATTATCAAGTAACTTCACAAAAAGTCTGCTGTTTTATGGGGCTTGAAGAATTTTACAATGTAGAAATGGAAGAAATTTTGCAGACTATGTCTTTCAAGCCCGTAGTCTCACAAATAGATAAACTGGTGTTCAGAGAAGTCAAATGATACTGCCAAGATCATGCTATAACTTAATTCCTTGGTTCCTAATCCATGGCAATTTCTTTTCACAAAACACAAAGGCCTGGACTTTGAAGTTTATTAATAAAATTTTGTCAGCTTGATATGTTGCCATCTTTCAAGTGTGGAAATTAATTAATTTTTAAAATTAAGAGCTGTGTAGGAGAGAAATGGAAGCAATTTTCTTAAATTACTTACAATCCGAAGAACTAAGAGATTCCTCATTTATTCTTCATTTATTTCAGCAGACACTTCTTGAGCACTACCAGTCTAGCACAGTACCTGGCACACAGTAGCCATTTGCAAGATAAATTATAGAATGGGCATCTATTCTGTGTTTGAGACTATGTTTAGTCTCAAATATAGAAAATGCATGGTATTGACTGAATGTTTGCCAAGTAGGCAAGACTGGGGGTCTGGAGGGAAGTGACGAAGACAATCTAGGTAGTGGGAACATGTCATGGGCATAAAATACTATGATGGGGTTCAGAGAAACTCTACATCTATCAACTCGTGAGCAGTTGTGGGCCTCAAAGGTGTGAACTGGCTAATGCAGAATTGAATTTCAGTTTTAGGGGGATCCTGTTCTTGTCAGCATAGAGGATGGATTTAAGGTTATGGGTGGGAGTGAGCATGAGGTCAAAGACAGAGATACTAATCAAAAGGTTTCTCTTATAGCCTAGGAAAGAAATGAAGAGGACTCTTCTCATTTTTATTTTCCTTCAAAACTCAAACTCTCCCAAAACTTTTCCATGTAAAATGCACATATCCCAAATCCTAAAATTTGATATCTAACACTAGCCATTTTAGGAAGATAGAAAATGAAAGGGAAAAGTTGAAGGCATTCCCCCTAAGAAGTGCAACAATGTAATTCCAGCACTTTGGGAGGCCGAGGCGGGTGGATCACAAGGTCAAGAGATCGAGACCATCTTGGTCAACAAGGTGAAACCCCGTCTCTACTAAAAAATACAAAAAATTAGCTGGGCATGGTGGTGCGTGCCTGTAATCCCAGCTACTCAGGAGGCTGAGACAGGAGAATCGCCTGAACCTAGGAGGCGGAGGTTGCGGTGAGCCGAGATCGTGCCATTGCACTCCAGCCTGGGTAACAAGAGCGAAACTCCGTCTCAAAAAAAAAAAAAAAAAAAAAAAAAAAAAAAAAAAAAAAAAAAAAAGAAGAAGAAGAAGTGCAACAAGACAGGGATGCCTACTTTCACCACTTCTATTCAACATAGTGCTATTAATAAAAATCCCATCCATAGCAATTATGCAAGAGAGAGAATAAAGGGCATCTAAATCAGAAAAGAGGAAGTCAAACTATCTCTGTTTGTAAGGTTAATCATATACCTAGAAAACCCCTTAACACCCCTCCAAAAGACTACTAAGTTTGATAAATGAATTTAGTAAAGTCTTAGTTTACAAAACGAATGTACACAAATCAGTAGCCCTGCTACAACAACAACCAAGCTGAGAGTCAAATAAAGAACTCAATCCCTTTTAAAATAGTTGCAAAAAAAAAAAGAAAGAAAGAAAGAAAAAAACAAAAACAAAAACACGGAGGAATATACTTAATCAAAGAGGTGAGAGATCTCTACAGGAGAACTATAAAACACTACTGAACACTACTGAGAGAAGTCATAGATGACACAAACACAGGGAAATACACGCCATGCCCCAGGATTGGAAGAATCAATATTGTGAAAATCACCATACTGACCAAAGCAATCTACAGATTCAGTGTAATTCCTATCAAAATACCAACATCATTTTTCACAGAATTAGAAAAAAGTGATTCTAAAATTCATATGGAACCAAAAAAAAAAGAAAAAGCCCCAACAGCCAAAGCAATCTCAAGCAAAGAAATAAATCTAGAGACATCACATTATCTGATTTCAAACTATACTACAAAGGTATAGCTATCAAAACAGATTAGTACAGTGGTACAAAAGTAGATATATAGACCAATAGAACAGAATAGAGAACTGAGAACCAACTGATCTTTGACAAAGCATACAAAAACATAAATCAGAGAAAGGATACTCTATCAATTAAAAGGTGCTTGAAAAATGAGATAGCCACATGTAGAAGAATGAAACTGGTACCTGTCACTTACCATACGCAAAAATCAACTCAAGATGGATCAAAGACTTACATGAAATCATAAAATTTCTAGAATAAAACTTAACAAAAACTCTTCTGGATATTGGCCTAGGCAAATAATTTATGACTAAGACGCAAAAAGCAAATGCAACAAAACCAAGAATAAATAAATGGGACCTAATTAAACTAAAAAGCTTCTGTACAGCAAAATAAATAAACATCAGAGTAAACAGGCAATCCACAAAAGGAGAGAAAATATTTGTAAACTGCGCATCTGACAAAGGACTAATACCCATTATCTACAAGGAACTCAAACAAATCAGCAAGAAAACAACAAATAATCCCATCAAAAAGTGGGCAAATGACATCAATAGACACTTCTCAAAAGAAGATATGCAAATGACCAACAAACATTAAAAAAAAAATGCTCAGCCCCACTAATCATCAGGGAAATGTAACCCAGAACCACCGATATCATTTTACTTCAGCCATAATGGCTGTTACTAAAAAGGCAAAAAAGCAATAGATGTTGGTATGAATTTGGTGAAAAGAGAATGCTTGTAGAATTCTGGTAGGAATGTAAATTAGTACAACCTCTACAAAAAACAGTACAGAGATTTCTTTCTTTCCTTTGATTTATTTATTTATTTATTCATTCATTCATTCATTTATTTTTGAGACAGGGTCTTGCTCTGTCACCCAGACTGGAATGGAGTGGCCTGATTTGGCTCACCACAACCTCAGCCTCCTGGACTCAAGTGATCCTCCCATCTCTGCCTCCCAAATAGCTGGTACTACAGGTGCATGCCATCAAGCCTGGTTAATTTTTTTTTTTTATAGAGATGGAGATTCGCCACGTTGCCTAGGCTGGTCTTGAGCTCCTGGGCTCAAGCAATCCACCTGCCTCGGCCTCCCAAAATGCTAGGATTACAGGTATGAACCACCACACCTGGCCATGGAGATTTCTTTAAGAACTAAAAGTAGATCTACTATTCATTCCAGCAATCCCACTACTGAGTACCCAGAGGAAAAGAAGTTATTTTATATATATATTTTTAAAAACTGCACATATATATTTATTACAAAACAATTCACAATTGCACAGATATGAAACTAATCTAAGTACCCATCAACTGATAAACAAAGAAAATGTGGTGTATATACACTGTGGAATACTACTCAGACATAAAAAGATAATGAAATAATGTCTTTTGCAGCAACCTGATGGAGCTGGAGGCTGATATTCCAAGCGAAGTAACTCAGGAATGGAAAACTAAAAACTGTAGTTCTCACTTATAAGTAGGAGGCAAGCTATGTGTATATAAAGGCATATGGAGTGGTATAACAGAGTTTGGAGACTCAGAAAGAGGGAGAGTTGGAGGGGAGTGAGGGATAAAAAAATACATATTGGATACACATATTGGGTGACAGGTGCACTAAAATCTCAGAATTTACCACTATATATGTGTGTGTGTGTGTGTGTGTGTGTGTGTGTATGTAATTCATCCATGTAACCAAAACCCACTTGTACCCCAAAAGTCATATACATATATACATATATATGTACATATATATATATAATGTACATATATATAATATATATATATATATATATATACATAAAGAAAGCAAAATCTCTGTCTTCTAAATCTTAAGTCATAGCAAGAGAAAAATTTCATCATAAAATTCTAGGTTTGGAAATTTGATTTGTCTCCTCATCAATTGGCTGAAACATCTTTCTGTTAATGTTGATTCCTTACACTGGAAAATTCCTAGACTATTATTTTGTATGAGTGAGAATTTCTTTTCTAGTTTTCAATCCAAACCACATGGAAAGAATGTAAAAATGGAAGCTGTTCACTTTGAATTTATTCTCAGCATTTAGGCTGCAGTATTACAGCCCAATATTCACCAGTAGGAGGCATTATCTAAACATGTTGAGAAATTTTCATTCCTAGGGAATGACATTGTTTCCTTATCTGGTTGAATTCAGTCTGAGAAGAAGGACTGTTGTTTGTAATGAAGAAAGAGCTCCACCCTCGGGCACTGCCACAGCTGCTCTGCCAATAACAAAGGCATAGCATTTTCCCTCTTGTGCATCTCCAACATGGATGCTTTTCAGGGCATTTTAAAATTCTTCCTTAATCAGAAAACTGTTATCGGCTATAGCTTCATGGCTCTGCTGACTGTGGGAAGTGAGCGTCTCTTTTCTGTCGTGGCTTTTAAGTGCCCCTGCAGCACTGAAAATATGGCCTATGGGCTGGTTTTCCTCTTTGCTCCTGCCTGGGTGTTACTGATCCTGGGATTCTTTCTGAACAACAGGTCATGGAGACTCTTCACAGGCTGCTGTGTGAATCCCAGGAAAATCTTTCCCAGACGCGACAGCTGCCGTTTCTTCTACGTCCTCGGCCAGATCACCCTGAGCTCATTGGTGGCTCCAGTGATGTGGCTTTCTGTGGCTCTGCTCAATGGAACTTTTTATGTATGTGCCATGAGTGGGACGAGAAGTTCAGGACTCCTGGAACTGATTTGCAAGGGTAAGCCCAAAGAGTGCCAGGAAGAACTTTATAAAGTGTCTTGTGGCAAAACTAGCATGCTACCCACCATCAGTGAAGAACTGAAACTGTCCCTTCAGGCCCAGTCTCAGGTAAGAAAAGACAAACTCGCCTTTTTCTCCCAGCGTGAGCTTGAAGTATTCTCTTTGTCCTCCTTTCAGCCAGGCTGAGTCTGTATCTTGTCAGAATATTTTTGAACTAAATGGACACTGAAACACGATGCAGCATTGACACTATCTCAGGAAAAGCTTTTTAAAGGCTGGATGACTCAGTAAAGTTGCTGACTGGATTATCTTTTTTCCGGTTCCAAAAAGAAAATATCCTCTGGATTGCCCATATGTAAATACTTAAGTACTTTAAAACAGTCTCTCTGGGTTGACTTTGTAAATAAATAATACCTAACACTGAATCATAAATTGAGTGTTAATGGCAGACCTGTAATTAGAAATTACTGCCTTCTATCAATTATTTATCTTCAAGTCAGTTTCTCAAACATATACGTTATTCATCTATTAAAATGTAGCTGAACGAAATGAGTTAATACTTTTCAAAGTTGCATGTAATTAGCATAGAGATTCTCTTGAATGAATTCTGGCAACTGCTATCTATCTCTGTGTATACATATTGTCAAGATTGAGAAGAATTTTCCATGTAAAGTAGAAATCAGCAATCTTTAAATAGCCTTCAGTGAAAATGTGACCACACTCTCTAGGGAGGTTATGTTTTATACTCTGTGCTATACAGCTAAAGGAGTTCTTAATTACTTCAGAAGCTCAAGATGGGGGCATTGTTTTATTTAACAGAAGGAAATTATATCTTTACCTAATTGTTACGAGGAAGTAGCCTGTCATTCCTCCAGGCACATGAACACAAATCCAGATGTACAGCCTTAGGAAGGACGGGCTTCCCATTTATGAGCAGTAAGAATTGCATTCCCAAAAGCAAAACAAGCAGTAAGAGTTCATAGGCAGATCCACAAATTGTCAGAAATGCTATCTGTTTCAATATAAAGGGACTGAAATAGCACTATTTTACTTTTTCAACAAGCATTTGCCTTGGTAACAACACATGAAGGCAAAGTCTGTTTTTAAAATCATACATTCCAAAGCTGGTTGGCGGTAAAGTCATACTCTTCAAAAATTGGTAAGTCAAGAAATGCTGAAAAACAAAATCTTTTCTTTAATGCATAAAGCGCATCTTAGATAAAACATGTCAGGCTCCTAAATGTCTTGTGTCTTTTACTGAAGAAGGGTATAACTTACAACTCTTATGGTAGAATGATTGATTTATGGTTTATGTCCTCAGGCACCAGGCTCCATTCGACAGAGCAAGGCCCAAACACTTATCATTGTGTGAGCATCTCTTCTCTAAACACAGGCACAAGGAAACCATGCACATCATGTCATAGCTTAGGTTGAGCACACTGACCTGCTGATTTTTCATCAGAATGAGAAAGACCTGGGGCTGATTCCCGTGGGAAGATGCATAAGGAATGTAGGCAAGAGGAGTTGTATCAATAGCAGGTGCTGACTATAGAGGTTCAGACAGGCAGGAGGCAACGTATAGTCCAGACCAATAATAGTTGGGCATGTGGTTGGAGGTGGAAAAGTACATTCCTTCATGGGTGTGGCAGAGAAACAAACAAAAAATATCTAGCTGGATGACTCTCTATTCCTAACGAAGGTAGAATGGAGTAGTGAAAAGAGCTCAGTCTTGGAATTGTCTGGCCTTGAGTTTGTATGTTGACGCTACCAATCACCAGCTATGTGACCTAGAACTGGTGGTTCAACCTCTCTGAATCCCAGTTTTCTCATAGTTGGTGGTAATATCATCTACTTTGGAGAGTTGTTGGACGATTTAGAGATGACAGACATAAAGAGCCATAAAGCTTCTCGTACACAGTAGGTGTTCCAAGTCAATGAGGAAAACTGCCAGGGTTTGGGGGAGGAATATGCAAAACGGAACACTGTTGAGGGCTGGTATGGAAGCATCCACCATGCTCTAGTTTGACCCTGGGTCCTGTGAATTGAGGGGAAGGATCGGTCAATGCAAAGGTCATGTGAAAGGGGGAAGGGGACCTAAACCTGATGGAATAGTTTGTAACTCCAGTGGAACTGGCTAAGGTACTAAGATGAGATGACCTATAAAAGCCTCAGCTGTGGAAAAAGAGGAAGACAGATGATGAAGGAAAGAGGAAGATTTAAGGTAGCCAACCCCAAGCCATTCAAGGACTTTCACATGATGGCAGTTGTGCCTCACTCATTAATTATAAGTACAGAAAGATACTATGAGTTCAGTAACACATTTACACAACTGTATATGCATTTGAAGAATGTCAGCATGTAATATTAGCTAAAACTTAATGAATGCATGTGTGCAGCATCATTTCATTAGGCCCACCAAATTACCCTTCAAGGTGAGTAACCCCCATTTCACAAGTGAAGGAACTGAGATACAAAGAATATGCACAGTAAGGGGAAAGTTTAGATTTAAACCTGAGTAGTGCCAGTCCAGAGCTGGCATTGGTGCAGAGGTTGAGACCCTTCACAAACACTTCATATCTGAGCCAGAGGTGGAGAACCACTAATTTAAAGCTTATTTGTGGTTTTGTTGTGGTTTGAATGGGTTCATTTGTAGATTATTACTTCTATTTTCAAATAGGCCCATCTGCTAAAGAATATTAAGACTTGGCCGGATGTGGTGGCTCACACCTGTAATCCAAGCACTTTGGAGGCCAAGGCGGGCAGATCACCTGAGGTCAGGAGTTCAAGACCAGCCTGACCAACATGGTGAAACCGCTTCTTTAAAAAAATAAATAAATTAAAATTAAAATTAAAAAAAGGATATTAAGACTCATTTAAGCTAAATGTCCAGAGACACTTTGAAAAAGTGTTAGTTTTCCAAATACAAAATTAATTCCAATTATGAAAACAGAATTACAGGGGAAAAGAAGATAATTTGAGCTATTTAAACTTTTGATTTTAGAATTCAGAAGAAAAAAACGCTGAACCATTTCATATGCAGGATAGACTTTGTTTTTTCTAATTACCAAAAATCAAGATAAATAATTTTTAAGTTTTGAATGATCCTAATTTTTTCTCAGCCTTTAAATTGTTATAGCTTCAGCTTCCTGAATGTATCATCTGTATCCTTTTTTCACGGGCAGTGAGTAATGACAGAAAAAAAATTAGTCACTGGCCATGTATATATATTTATCAGTGGCTAAAAACACCTGGCTGAGGAGCTGGTCATTTGCTCAAATGACCACATTTACTTATGCACAGAATTTTTTCCTCTCACAGCTAATAATATTAGAGCTGATTTATCTAAGTCTTACATAATCTATACCTTGTACTCTTTTCCATATGCCTGCCTTCTGGTTATTTCTTTGCACCAGCAATGCTGGGGAGGATAATAGAGATTAGGTAAATTCTAACTTTATTTTGAGTTAACCTAACAAATTCAAAAGAGTTTAAAGTGTTTAAAAATTAAGATGAATGATTTCAAATGAGGTATGCCAAAGACTGTGGTAATAATTTAGCTATATACTTCTCAATACCACCCCAGCTCCCTAAGTAACTTTGCTTTTACATGTACTCAATATTTCTTTCTTCTTAAGATTCTAGGATGGTGCCTGATTTGTTCAGCTTCTTTCTTCTCTCTGCTCACCACATGTTATGCTCGCTGCCGATCTAAAGTTAGCTACCTTCAGCTGAGTTTTTGGAAGACATATACACAAAGGGAGAAGGAGCAGTTGGAAAATACGTTTCTGGACTATGCCAACAAGCTGAGTGAGAGGAACCTGAAATGCTTTTTTGAAAACAAGATGCCAGATGCCTTTCCCATGCCTACGTTTGCTGCCTGGGAGGCTGCTTCAGAGCTGCATTCTTTTGACCAAAGCCGGCAGCACTATAGCACCCTCCACAGAGTGGTGGACAATGGTCTGGAACTTAACCCTGAAAATGATGAGACGACAATGATTCTCGTGGGTACTGCCCACAATAAGTAGTTCATCCATCATCATTGACTTACGGTGTTGAGTGGTGTGCTCATTTTGGGGTTCTCCTAATGTATCACCAGCAACCTCGATATCTTCTGAATTTTCTTACCTTTATAGTGTCTTTACAAGACAGTAATACAAAGGAAACTGCTTTGAAGCTCTCAAGTGGAGTATCAGAATGTGCTCAAATTGATGCTGAAGGGTCACAAAGGTGCTCTTGCCTTGGTGGAGAGTGCACTCGGTAGGCTCAAATGTTGCCCCAAGATCTAAGATTTTATCATTCAACAGACAGACTTATGTGAGAGGGCTCATCAGTCTCTGTAAATATTGGTTGCAGAATTTAGGGGCAGAGGCAATGGCTTGCGAATGAGCAAGTTACTCTTAACAAAATTGCCCTACACAGTGGCTCCTGCAGTGTGATCAGCAGGATAGAATTAATTCCCTCAGAATCTGAAGACCTGAGTCCTCAAAAAAAATTAGTTGGAAGAATATGATGCCTAAAATTGAAAGTTTTAAACACTTTTTCACTGTATACTGAAAATATGCCCCTGGAAGCAGGGCTGAATCATGGTTTTTGTGGGTTTTATGTACTTTTGCCTTTGTGAACCACTTCCTACTTTCAAAATAGTAGTAATAAATATATAGATATATAACAAATGTATATATATTTATAACTGCATTGATAAAAGGTGAATATAGTAGCATTTTCTTCAACCTAAAAGTTTATATATTTCCTTCTGCCTTTAAAAGAAATTAAAAACATTTTTGTGGGCCCTTAAAAGTATGGTGGGCCTTAGGCACAGTGCTTCCTAGGCTGTGGGTACATCTTCGTGGGTTTGGGCTACTATAACCAAATATCATAGATTAGGTGGCTTATAAAAAATATAAATTTATTTCTCACAGTTCTGGAGGCTGGAAAGTCTGAGATCAGGGTGCCAGCATGGTCAGGTTTTGGTGAGAGCCATTTTCCAGGTTACAAACTGCTTACTGACTTCTAGCAACCTCCCATGGCATAAAGTGTAAATAAGCTCCCTTGAGCATTTTTCAGAAGGCACTAATCCCATTCCTGGAGGCTCCACCTTCGTGACCCAATTACCTCTCAAAGGCTTTGCTTCTTAATACCACCAGCTTGGGGGTTGGGATTTCAACGTATGAATTTGGGGGAGACACAAATATTCAGACTATAGTAGGGTATAATAGGGTAAATCGGCCCTGACTAAAGGTCTGGGGGATACTTTCCAAAGCAGTACTGACATAAAACTGTATTGTAGTCTTACACTTATCAGAAATAATGCAAATTTTACATTTACAATGTACTATATCCAATGTATACATATATATATGTATATATATATGTACATAAATTCTTAAATCTCTGAGTAGAATTATGCTTAAAGAAGAACTATGTTTTGTGCTGTGGCTCATACTTTATATCAGTGAGAGTCTATATCCCCTAGTTTGAGAAACGTGAATATAAACTTATTACCATGAAACATGATGGCAAACTGAATCCTATAGGTATAAGACCCAGAACATGTCTATGTTATTGCTGTTTACAAGAAGAATTATATATTTGGTCTTTCCTCCCATTCTATGTGCAGAGTTCCTAAAACCTTTGGGACCTCCCAAGTGATATGTCTGGTAGTATGCTAATGAGATGACTGGGGCTAGGGGCTTCTGAATGGCCTCAGAATGGGATCTGGTTGCCAGGGGAACCAACGATGTGTTCAGAGGATTGGAAGTTTCAGCCCCACTCCCAGACCTTGGGGAAGGGAGAGGAGCTGAAGGTTGAGTAAATCACAAATGTATAGTGATTTAATCAATCATGCCTAAGAATAAAGCTTCCCATAAAAACCCAAAAGGACAAGGTTCAGAGAACTTCTGCATTGCTCAATACATGAGGGATGGTGTGCCCAGAATGGGCATGGAATCTCCGTGCCCCTTGCCCCAAACCTATTCCTGTGCATCTCTTCCATCTGGCTGTTTCTGAGTTATATTCTTTTATAATAGACTGATGATAGTAAATAAGGCTCTTTCTGAGTTCTGTGAGCTGCTCTAGCAAATGATGAAATCTGAGAAGGAAATCATGGGAATCTCTGCTTTGTAGCCATGTCAGACAGAAGATGTGAGTAACTTTAGAACCTACTGCTTGTGACTAGTGTCTGAAGCTGGGGGAGGTCTTATGGGACTGAGCCCTTAACCTGCTGGGGGTCTGCACTTTATACTGGTTAATGCCAGAACTGAATTGTGAGATATCCAGTTGGTGTTGGAGAATTTGTCAGTGTGGGAGAAAACCCACACAATTGGTGGCAAGGAGTGTTCAGTGTTGAGGGTGAATGTCAAAAAAAAAAGTTTGTCTTTTCTATGTATAATATCCTTGGGAACTTGGAGGTGCAGGGTCAGAAATCCGTGTGTGTATGTGGCAGGGACATACAGGGATTAGGAATGTGAGAGGGTAGAGTTGTCAGAATGCAGGGAGACAAAATTCAGCAAAGAATTCTCATTCTTAATCTTTCTTGACTTAAGCTTGCCTGCCCTTAAGTGTCAGTATCGCGAAGAAGCTTGTTAGAAACGCAGAATCTGACAGTATCTAAAACTGTTGACTCAAGCCTGCAGTTTAACATGATCTTAGCTGATTCCTGTTCAAGTTAAATTTGATAACTGTAGAGTGGTGGTTCTCAAACTTTAGTCCATATAAAAATCACCTGGAGGGCTTATTAAAATGTGGATTGCTGAACTCCACCTCCAGAGTGTCTGATTCAATAGGTCTGCGGTGAGGTAAAAGAATCTGCATTTTAACAGGTTTTTAGGTGATACTGATGCTGCTGATCTAAGGACTACATCGTGAGAATAACTGCTCTGCAGCACAGAGCAGGGCATTCTGGGGAGGGGAGGCTGTAAGAAATTCAGAACCCTGGGCTGCACTCCAGATCTACTGAATCAGTCATCAACCTGTCCAAGACTTTGGAGTGCCTTTCCATTCATTCAAGGATACCTTTTGTCCTTTGGGAATATTTTAAAGTTTACTTCACATAAGTTTTACATGTTTCTTGTAAACTCTATTTGTAGGTGTTTTCTTTGTTCCTATTGTAAATGGTTTCTTTCTAAGTGATTGTTATCTGAGTACATGAAAAGCTATTGTCTTGTGATTATTAATTTTATCTCTCTACTAATTCTTTTCTTGTTTATAGGGCTTTTTAGTATTTGAAAGTAAACATTTTGCAACCCCTAATGACATAATGGATCTAGACAATAAATAATGAATTCTAAACTATTAGGTGAAAACCGAATGGGGTCAGGCCTTTTGCAATTTGAAGCCACTCATCTATATTAGCATCACTAAAAATCACAACCAGATATTATGTGCCTTTTGAGGCAAGGCAAGAATAAGTACATAGTACCACCTGTGAAATATTGTTTCCTAAAAAGTTAAACCTAATACTTGTTTACAAGTGTTTAGACATTACATTGCTAGTTTATACGAAATGTGAGCAACAGAAAAAAGGCAATTAGCACCACAAGAAGACAACCAGATACATCTAGATATAGAACATTCCATTTTACATATGACTCAGTTTCCCCACAGATTAACAATATTAATAAAAGGAGAGTAAAGGAGATATAAGAGACTTAATAACCAGAGATGATATATAGACCTTATTTGTATCCTGTTTCAAACAACCAACTGTAACAAGATATCTTTGAAATATTTAGGGAAATATGAATGAATATTAGATGACTTTTAGAGAATTATTAATTTTGCTATGCATGATAATGGCATGCTAGTTTATGTTTTTTTAAAAAATTCTTCGGTTAGAGATGCATATTTTAATATTTGTTTGTGAACTGTCATTATGTCTAGAAGTTTCTCCAAAATACTCTAGGAAAGGCCGGGCACAGTGGCTCATGCCTGTAATCCCACCACTTTGGGAGGCCGAGGAGAGTGGATCACCTGAGGTTGAGAGTTCAAGACCAACATGGCCAGCATGGTGAAACCCTATCTCTACTAAAAATAAAAAATAATAATAAAAAAAAAAATAGCTGGGCATGGTGATGACAGGTGCCTGTAATCCCAGCTACTCAGGAAGCTGAGGCAGGAGAATTGCTTGAACCTGGGTGGCAGAGGTTGCAGTGAGCCAAGATCATGCCATTGCACCTCAGTCTGGGCAACAAGAGTAAGATTCTATCTCCAAACAAGCAAACAAACAAATACTCTAGTTTAGGGAGAAAGCTGAAAGACGAATAAAAGTTTAGGGAGAAACCTGAAAGACGAAACAAGAATGGCAAAATATGGAAACTTTTGAAGCTGGATGGTAGGTACATGAAATTCATTACGTTATTCACTTTATATTTGTATATGTTTGAAAAATTTCATAAGGTACACAACAAAATAATTCATATGCTAACTGAGCAGGAGTTTACCGTCTAGTATCATTCTCAGCAAGGGCTCGCAGGAATGTCATTCCCTGAATTCTTAATATTTAGCCTGATGGCCTGTTCTCTACTTGAAGGACAGTTTGGCTGGTTCACACTTTGTCCATGTGAGTGTATTGTAAGCATTATTTCATTGTCTTTTGTCATTGAATATTGCTGAGAAGCCACAGTCTGATGTCTGATGCTATCTTTATTTTTTTCTTTATTCCGAACATGATATTTTATCCTATGTTCTTTTTTTTTTTTTTTTTTTTTGAGACAGAGTTTCACTCTTGTTACCCAGGCTGGAGTGCAATGGCGCGATCTCGGCTCACCGCAACCTCCGCCTCCTGGGTTCAAGCAATTCTCCTGCCTCAGCCTCCTGAGTAGCTGGGGTTACAGGCACGTGCCACCATGCCCAGCTAATTTTTTTGTATTTTTAGTAGAGACAGAGTTTCACCATGTTGACCAGGATGGTCTCGATCTCTTGACCTCGTGATCCACGCGCCTCGACCTTCCAAAGTGCTGGGATTACAGGCTTGAGCCACTGCGCCCGGCCCTATCCTATATTCTCATTGGTTTCTTTCTTTATCTTTCACGTCCAAAAATGTTAAATAAGCCTTCAGGTACATCTTTTTTGGGTCAATTTTCTACTAAAAGTTACACCCTTTCATTGTGGAGAATCACTTTGTTTTATTTCAATAAAAGAGTTGGAAATTTTTCAACTTATTTTCCTTTATGTGCTATATGATTTTCAATAAACTATATTGTTTTGAATTCAAAACTAAACTGCTATGTTCCTATTGGAATTTAATTTAATTTAAAAAACTAAGTTAACTTGACGTTTTGGCTCTTGTTTCATCTAAGTTTCACAAGCATACTGGGAGGGAGGTATTACCTTTTCTGTTTGTATAAATAATGCTAGAGTCCAAAAAGGCTAAGGTGGTTAAGGTACTGTTAAGTTATAGAACATCATTTTAGACCTACATTTGTCTAATTCTAATTTCCATTGCACAAATTCTACCTGATTTTAGTACATTCTTGAATGTTCCTATAACCTTTCAAAGTATGTTCCCTTATTTGTAAAATGAGAATGTTGAATTAGTATATCTCAAAGTCTCTTTCAACTCTGTTGTCCTAAATCTTAGAGCCAGTAGTGTGTGAATTCCCAGTCAATTGGATTCTTAGTGTCCTCTTGGGAATTGAGGTCTATCTCCAAGTTTCCTGGCCTCTGTCTGGGCTCCTGGACCCTTTCCCATCCTGAACAGCTTTCGCCTTGGGTTTCTAAATATTTAGAATAGCGATGCTCACACTGTGCTCCTACTGTATCAATTAAGTAAACTTTCCGTTTTATTTTTTTAAATTTCCTTAGATAAAAATAACAATGGATATAGAAGAAATTTTTAGCAGTGGAAAGTTTATAAAAGATTTCAAATGGTCTCCAAACTTTAAATTTTATAGATTTTAGAGTCCACCTTTCTTTCTGGCCAGCTATCTTTTGATAGTTTCAGGTTTCCTGAACCTACAGCCACACCAATGCCAAGAGAAATCTTTACAAGTTTTAAATTACAATTAAAACTGAGATTAAAATCGATGAATTTCTTCACCTAATCACATTCACTGGGTCATTTCAAGAAATAGGAATAAGTAAAAAAAATAAGAACTCGTGATACTTAGTAACTTTGCTTAAGAACAGTACCTCAAGATATATGCATTCTTTGGCAATTTATAACCTATAAAATGGTGATTAGTTGTATTGTAAAAACATTCTGTATTGCCTATATTTTATCATAGAGATGTGCTTCTGCAATTATAATAATTGCTGATGGTTTCAACAGAACACAATTATTTCTCCCAGGAGTTTGTTGGTATTTGCGTCCTGGAGGAAACATGAGAGATAGTAATCAGTGTTTTAGAAAGAGTTACTTCCTTAAACAGTTGGCTAACTATGAGTGGGTTTCACGACCCTATGGATGAAGTCAAGCAATTAAACATATATATATACTTACAAGCTGCTGTTTGATAAATTTCCATCTTCTTTGGAGCAATGGCCTCAAAAACAGTTTCCTTCTCTATTTCTTTCCCTACAGACAAGTTCGTTGTTCCCACTAAAGATGGGATGGACTTTGTTTCAATCAAAACTGTTCCACTTTTATCATATCTCTCTAGTGTTTCCCACTTTTTTTCCCAAATGGATTTTTATTTTATCTGAAGCTTGTGAAAGAGATAAAAAACTTGAGAGGTAACTAAGGAAAGAGTTTGGATGGAGGGCCTGGAGGAAGGGCAGCCCTAACCTGTAGCCTCACTTCTACAGGAATCACCCTAGAGCTCCATAAAACACAGTTAGAAAACTCTTGTTCTAAATAGTAGATGCCCATTAGGATTGCTGGGAGAGCATTTAAAAAGTTCTAATGCCTGTGCCTTATTCCCAGAGACCACAATTTAAGGGGTCAAAAGTAAGTTCTGAACGTCAGGATTATTTGGAAAGCTCAGCTGATACTATGCAGGATCTAGAAATGATAACCCTTGTCCTGGAGTATCACTGAGAGGTCAGAGCAAGTCTGGACCAAATCTTACTTCTGACACAAACTACAAATGACACCAGGCAGGGATGACCTGGAAGTTGGTGCTCCTGATGTGTCTTTGAATCCTTAGGCCTATACAGATCTTGTTTTAGCATTTTGTTTCCCAGGGTATTTACTCCATGGTTTTCATTTTGTAATAAAGAATTTTACTGTAAATAGTCAGATTAATAACATGTTCCCAAAGCTATTGCTATTTTCAATTCACTTAAAGCAGCAGTCACAATATTGTTCTGACCTGCTTGCTGTTTCTTAAAGGCAGGAGAAGAAATTCCCATGTGAAGGATATCCTCCTTATACTAGAAAGAAAGCAAGATTCTTATCATCAAGGAGGGGCAATTGAGGCTGAAAGAATTTTGTATAGATTTTATTAAAATAATTCTTGCCTTCTTGCCTCCCCAAATAATTTAGTTGTTTTTTTTCACTAATTACTATTCTTTGTCCAATTCAGTAGGTAAGCGTTCAACTCCTTCAGTCTCCATTTCTTTATTAA